GACATCTATGGCGGCTGTTAACACAAATTTCGCACTGCTATAAGTTTTGGTGTCGTTTTTTAAGGCAAAACTTAGCACGTGGAATGGCTTTTAAATTTTTTTGTTTAGCTGTAAGTTCCCTCAAAATTTCTTTTATGCAATTAATATAAAAAATTCAATACTATACCAGTAGAAAAGTAGGGTATTGCTCGATTTGAGCTGCCAAAGCTAGTGTTTCTCCATTTTCTAGCTTGGAAGCTTGTGTACTTTTTGCATAACAGTTTGTTGTATTTCTCAAATGCTGTTACTGTCATCTTCAGCTGCTGGAAGTTAGTGCGTCATAGACTGGTCAAGAAATATGTTTTTTGCTTAGATAAGTCTTGCTTGTTTCAGAGGTATTTAGAGTTTTTAAGGTGTGTAAAAAATATCTGAATTATGGTATATGAGGGATAAAAGAGTAATTATAACTAAAACAATTCAGTGGGCGTCTGTTTCAAGGTTTTTTATGGTGAAAGGCGTATTCTAAGTGGTACACCCTATTTTTCTACTGGTGTAGTATTGAATAAGAATTATATTTACACTCTCTACGTCGTTGGACTAGTTCAGAAACTGGGAGATTAAGGAGTAAGTTAATTTGCTAGATTGGATGCATTTAAGGAATTTCATCGGGGTTATCTTTTTTCCATCTTCTTTTATCAGTAGGTGCGCGTCTCAATTGTTGATTTATTTTTAAAGTACTGTTTGCAGAGAATCAGACCGAGAAGTGATGGACATGGAACTTGATCACGAACTGCTTTCCCCTTTAAGGTTTGTTGAACGTTGATAGTACATTTAGACTTTGTAAGTGCAAGTGCTATAACTGTTTTGTATAAAGCAATCGTATTCCACTTTAGTGGAAGCTTTATTTAGGCAATGAATTTTTTTATATCTCACAGTCTAATAAGTCGTCTAGAGTTTGTCATCTGGTGATTCGAACATTTTATAGTAAAAGCAAAAGTAAGAAAAAGGTAATAATTTTTGATCATTAGGAATACCAAATTTTGAGAGAAATTTTCTTAATTTGTGGTTGTCCTACTAAACTCTTTAAGTTTAAGAAGTGTAATTGAATATTTTATTTTAACTAAATGACTGTAAGCTATTGAATTTTT